TCCCCCGTGCTCCTTCCGAAGCCCCCGCCGGTCACCTGGGGGAAAATGGGGCCTATGGGGGAAAATCTCAAAGCGATTTTTCCCCATAGGGAACATCGCAATGCGATTGCTTTTGCAATCGCAAAATCCACATCGCTATGTGGATTTGTCGTTAAACGGGGCGCACGTTAAGCGAGGCACCACTGTAGTAGGTTTCTGTAATTGAAAATTTTTGTTTTAACCTTTACAGTGAGTTGAAAGGAACTGAGTGGGATTTTGGTCTGCAGTCCTAATCATGCATGTTTACTACTTAATTAAACAGTGGACTTTATTTGTTTCAGGTTGTATTGAAATACATTTCTTGAATAGGTTTAATCAAGATATTTTAAAATTTAAAATATTTTGTTTAAGAAATCTATTTGATATGAAGGGGGAAGAAATTTCCTTGTGTATGCTCTTTTTAAAAAATTGGTTGTGACTAATGCAGTTATGGTAGTTGAATATCATATTGTGAGGTGAAAGCAAACAAGTTGAATGGGAGAAAAGCTCCTTTGAGTACTGGATGTGTTTATTTATTTATTTAACTTATATGCTGCCCACACTACCCAAAGGTTCAGTGATGTGATTGCAGTTTCTCTGCATACTTCCACTGAACCTAACAAAAGTTAGCTCTTTGTGAACATGCATTATGTGAATCCGCAAGAGTCTAAATTCAAAGTTCATGTTTTGATCATTCAAGAGACAGTCCTAGTAGTCTTTGCACCTATATTTTTGTGCCCCTTGTAAATGTCCCAGCCTTGTCCAGACACTCTTCTTTGATTGCCAAATAGCAAAGTGTAGCATGAGCAGTGGTCCAAACAAAGTTTAGAAACCACAAGTTGAATTTGTTTGGAAATTTTTCTGTGCAAATGTCACCAGTGATTTGCAAAAATTGCAACTACTTGTACTCTAATGTTGTAGATTCCCAGATTGTTTAACAAGGGAATCTAATCTTTCTTATAAAGAGGAAGGAAATGAATTACAGTGTAAAGAATTGATACATTCATTCTGCCCCTTCCATTGTTTCCCTGAAAGTTATAGGTTTAAACTGAATTTTAGTATTTCTCACTAGTGATTCTTTCAAGTTGCACTTGTGAGATAAATATCATCTGTTAGAAATCCTTTTCTCTGACTGGTTTGCAAGAAGCCAGAAGAATTATCTTTTTGGTCAAACAATAAATAAATACTGTACATCTGTGATTGTTGTTTTTAGTAAATGGCTGAGGATTATAAAAGGCTGTTCTTTTAACATTATAAGATGTGTAGAAAATGTGAAATATTCTAAACTTTTGTCACTTAGCAATGTAGTCAGCATCCAAAACACTAGTACATTTGAGCTGTATTTTAATATAACATAGTTGTTGCTCTAATTCCTTTCCAGTAATATCATTTTTAACTTAATTGTTTTCTAGCCAAAGAATGCCCAACAGCATGAAAAAGTTCAGAAAGCAAATACAGAAGGAGTTGCTGTCCAAGGCCAACAGGGAACCAGATTGTTACCAGAGCAGCTCATCAAAGAAGCCTTTATTCTAAGTGATCTCTTTGATATTGGGGAATTAGCAGCTGTTGAACTTCTTCTGGCTGGTAATATGATGCTCTGATGGGAACAGAGTAGCCATTCATTTTATATTTTGATCATGTTCTAGTATCCCAAGAAATTCCCGTGAACATCCAGTGTTTATGTGGATATTATTTTCATTTAGCAAATGATTAAGTGCCAGTCTGATGTGTCTCATTCATGCAAATGTAGATACTGATAATAAGAAAACTGATATATAGATTTTTTTGTAAAAAGAAACGTTGATCATTTTAGGTATGTTTAAAAGTATCAGTGCTTTAGATTAGATTAAAAATGGGGGCCTGGAATCCTATTGGTGTTCATATAAGTTTTGGTGTTCATATAAGAATCTTCCTGTTCTTGATTGCAAAGATATTGATGAGATATCAGGACACATCCTGGGCAAACAACTGACACAGGTACTGGTAGTTTGTCAGTTGGCAATAAGACAAACCTTACATGAAGATTTTGGCAGAGGCCTTATGAGTCTTAGAATTAGAGTAACATTTGGTATGACTGAAGTATTAAGTTGTTTTTCTGTTCACCACATTTGTGTTCGTAATGAGAATTTGTGGTTTTCCTAGGAGAGCATCAACAGCCTCGTTTTCCTGGGCTCACTAGAGGTTTAGTAGCTGTTCTGCTATACTGGGATGGAAAGCGATGCCTTGCAAACTCATTGCGAGCACTTATCCAGTCTCGGCGAGGCAAGACATGGACACTGGAACTCAGGTCTGTGTTTAAAGCAATGGACCAGCATTCTAATATTTCTCTTCTCCCACCTTCAGTGTGACTATTTTGACTTAGGGTGTTGCAGTTTTAAGAATGAAACGGTTGCATTCAAAGGAATCTCCCGCGTTCTTCAGTCATTATATTGAATGATCAATACAACTGAGTCTTATATTGAATGATCAATACAACTGAGTGGTGTTATGGCTTTCCTCCTCTAACTTCCTAAATTTTATAGAAGTCTTTGTAGCTTGTTAAAATGAATATAGCTAAGGCATGACTGTCCCTTTTGATTTCAGTCCTGAACTCGTCTCTATAACAACACGTTTTACGGATGAGCTGATGGAGCAAGGTTTAACTCATAAAATTCTGACTTTGGTGTCTCAAATTGATCTGAACACTGAATTCGAGAAGCTGCAGAGAGAACGAGGGTTGGGCAGTGAGAAACATCGGAAAGAGGTAGCTACTTTTTCCAAGTGCTTGTAGTTTTCTTGAGCGTATTCTCCATTGTAGAAAAACAAAAGTATTAAGAATAGTTTGTTTTATGCCTCCTCAGTTCTTCTCTTTGAGAAGATTTGTTAGGCTACTCAGCACATTGTGTGGACTATTCTATGTACAAAGATTTCCTACATAGATATAGTCTTTTTCTGTGGGAAAAAAAGGTGGTAAGCATATTTGTGACTTGCATTGTGTGTACATGTGATACGTCTGCATGGGGGGCTGCAGCCAATTGTATTGTACTCTGAATATATAAATCCAAGTACATTCAACAGGTTTGGAGATGTATATGTACTCAGTTGTGAGACACTCTTTTCACAAACAAGAGAGAATTGCCATGTAAAAAGTAAAAACAAGATTTGTCAGGTACTTCGGTACAGACAGTGGTCAAGTTCTTTTGTAATGTCAAACCTGGTTTGACATGACATCAGAGTGTTTTGGATTTATACACTCTGATTCCCTCTCTGAGTTCCTTGTTGAGGCAGTCTAGTTTGCCATTGCGTCCAGAGTTGGTGGCATTGTTAACTGTACTTCGTTAGTTCATTTGTAATATCGCGATACGGTGTGACATGAACAAAGAAGTCAGTCAGAGGCAAGGTTCCCTCTAAGTTGCACAGCTCCTCCTCCCTCCACACAGCTTTCCTCCTCTTCTGTGGAGCGATTGTTTTCAGCTCCTTTGGTTCTTTCTGGTCACAATGGAACCCCTCGTGTGGAGGGTGGAGTCACATGCACATGCAGGGGTGAAGGCATGTCTGTGTGGGTGTGTGCATGCATGCATCTGTGCATAGGAGACAGCTACTTAGAGGATACTTTGGTCAGAGGGTTTGAGGAGAGCAGGCAGGCAGTGTAGTGGTTCAGGGCTCACTCATGTAATATGGCTTTGCATCACATACAAGCTGAGCCGTCTCCTGGTAAATTACACAGACTTATAATCCAACATCCATTTGACAGTAGCGCCTCAGATAATAATTTTATTAGGAGACAGGGTAAGATTTTGCTTTATTTTTCTAAATGCGACTTTTGAAATTAAATTTTTGGACTTGACTTCTGTCTATCCAATCACCTAAAAAAAGATTGGCTACAATCTTATTTGTGTAAGGTTTGTGTCACTTGTTGTGGCTAATAGTGCCTGATTAGGTGCCAAGGTGCATTTTGGTCACGTGCCTGACCCTTTGCCTGCTTGTGCAAGCGATATGCACTCTGGTGCCTTGTCAATTAGATGTAGTTAGGCTTGGTGAGTTATTTGAATTTTACTTGGTTACCTGTATGATTTTGGCTGGGATTATTAGTTAAATACACTTATTATGAAGGAATTCCCCTTGTAAACAGCAGGGCCTTTCTTCTAAGTAAGCATACAGTATGTAGGTATAAGCTGTAAATGATAAAAGACTATGTTTTGAAGATAAAGTATAATAATTAGAGATGGGAGTGTTCATATACGAATACAAATATCCCCACACAGGTGGCGAACAAAAGTGCAGCCCCATGGGGCCAGAGAGTCCACTCACTGATCTGCCGCTGCTGCGGATGCCATGTTTCTTTCAATGACTTCGCAGATCAAGATCAGCTAGCCACTCCTGGCAGGAGGTGGGAGGACAAACCTCGCTGCAAGATTGAAGAGTGGCTTGCAGATCACAATCTGCAGAGCCATTGGAAGAATCGCGGCGTCCGCAGCAGCAGCGGATCAGTGAGTGGACCGTCCGGTCCCATCTGTATGGGGATATTCGTATATTAAAACGAATACCCCCATCTCTAATAATAATCATATGCTTGGATTTCTTCTAGGTTTCTGATCTTATCAAGGAGTGTCGGCAGTCATTGGCGGAAAGTTTATTTGCTTGGACGTGCCAGTCACCCCTGAGTCGGGATGATACTTTAATCCTTATTAGTTACTTAGAGAAAGTGACCGTAGAAGCTGATGGCTCATTGGACAGAGTCAATTTAGCACTTCTTATGGCTCTTCTATATTGTTTTGATATCAGTTGTCTTGAACAGAGCACTGAAGATCGAGAAGGTAAGGCTTTAAATTGATGTTTAGATCCTGCTTACTTTTAATTCTGTTTCATAAATGAATTCTTCCAATTTACCATTGAATACTCTAAATATTCTCTGTGGATATTTCTATGATTCATGTATTGTTGCTGATGATGACAAGTTCTCCAACGTAATTATGGAACGAAAGAGTAAGAAAAACAGAAAGTGAAATGAATAGATGGAGTTTTATGTATTCCATATTATTTCAGTTGCGAAAGCAGTGTGGTTAATATTTAAAATAGTTCCTTCCCATACGGTTTGCAGCTGTATAAGTTCCTTGATTTAAGTCTTTGAGATCACATCTTAACAGTGCTTTGCCTTCTCCAGAGGTATAGTAGCATGAACGAATGGGAAGTCAAAGAGGGTTTGTGTATTTTTTTTAAAAAAAATAATTTTTACACATAAATTTCTAGGGTGGTAGCCATGTTATGTCAGCAGAAACAGAATTTCGTGGCACTTTTAAGATTAGCAAGTTGTATTTTGTGGAGCATTCATGAACTGTGGCTTATTTTATCAGATGCAGCTAAGAACACCTGCAGTCTGCAAAGGCTTTTGCTGCAACAAAAAGTATCCAAAGTCTTCTCTTATTTTTATTTTGTGGATCTTATTTTCAAATACACATTTTAAGAATCTAGTCTGGATGGTACATGATTATCATTATGTTATTAGTCTGGATGGATCAGTGTGTCTGAGTCAGGGTGGGCCACTTTTGTGGTTTTATGGGTTGTGTTTTCTGCTCCAGCACCCTGTGAGAGCTTCACAGACCATCTGAAATGCTAAAAATTGAAAACTAGAACAGGAAAGGATGAGAATTTCTAGTTTTGAAAAATGAGTAATAAATGATATGTTGGAAGACTGTGACCTGTTTGAAAGATGAATAATCCCTCCTGAAGGTTTCCAGAAGCTGCATTTCACCTTTCCTTTTCTTCTGCCCAAAAAAGAGGGAGTCAGGGAGGACTGAGGGGCTGTGCATTGCCCATCCTGGTATAAACATTTAACTGGAAACTTTAATCCTCTTTATGTCAGTTAGCATCCTTAGACACAGTTTGCTTTGTCTGAAGCTCAGATTTTGATCGAAGAATGACTCCTGATCAGGGAGTAGCATAGTTGTGACCTCACTTTGTAGAAAAGGGATATAATTTCTAGAAATCTGGAAACTGAGTCATGGCAACTGGACTTCTTCCTTATTAGGTTGAAATTTTTTGCTACTCACCCAAGTAGCTTCTTGTCTGAGGAGAGCTGGTAGGAGACCCCTGATATATCCTCCTCATTGGTTTCACTTCCTCCTAGTCTGAATAGGCTTGTTAGAAGGACAAAGGACTGGGGGTGGGTGAAAATCCCACTTCTGCAGTCCTTCTCCACCAATTGTCATGGGTCATTAACAGCTGTCTTTCTGGTGGGTGTGGTCCTCATCTGCCTGGGGATGAAACTTAGAAATGTGGAGAGGGATCTCTCACCAACTCTCCTCAGACTGAAGAAGCTACTTTGGATGAGTAATGAAATGTTTCAACCTAATAAAGAAGTCCAGTTGCCATGACTCAACATCCAGATAACCATACCTGAATGACTGAAAATCTTCACAGATAAATTTCTAGAAATGTTGAAGCCAGAGAGGAAAAATGTTTCTCATGGGCGGGGAGAGAAAAAGATTTCAGGTTTTGGAGAGAAATGGAAATATATGTCACTAGACCTTAAATAGTACATTGAGAAGATGAAATCTTACCTTGGGTTCTCAGAAAGAAGCTAGCATAAGGGGCCTTTTTTGTCTCTTTGTCTTCAGTGTAGTCCAGTATGCTCTCTGCTCAAGCTAATTTTGATTACACACAATTTTAGATTATTCTTTCTTCATTCAACTGAAAATGCCCCTCACCTCTGTGCTTTTTGAGGAGCACAGAGGGGAGCATGGAGGATGAGGGGGCAGAAGAGTATCTTTTTGCAAGCTTCTTTCCATTTGTGGGTCTTAAGATCAAAGTTGTTCTATTGTTATTATTCAAAAAATCAAACACGGTCAATCAAACTTATAAAAACATTGACTAGTATTATATAAGTTTTAACAAGTTTTAACAAAAAACCTAATTGTCTGTTAAATATTGACGTAGTATATATGCGATGAGGGGGCAGAAGAGTATCTTTTTGCAAGCTTCTTTCCATTTGTGGGTCTTAAGATCAAAGTTGTTCTATTGTTATTATTCAAAAAATCAAACACGGTCAATCAAACTTATAAAAACATTGACTAGTATTATATAAGTTTTAACAAGTTTTAACAAAAAACCTAATTGTCTGTTAAATATTGACGTAGTATATATGCTGTTCCTAGCTAATTTTTCTGTTAAATATTGACGTAGTATATATGCCATTTTTTGTAGCTCTGATGAGGTTATTTCTGAAATCTGCAACTTCATAACACTATGTGTAATTTCTTTTTTCTTTTATAAAGTTGTGATGTTTTATACATTTGTGAAATGTGGACATATAAATGCCTTAGTTTTATTGTAACAATTATTGTAGCATACATAGTGTTAGAGCAGAAGATTGCTGTGTGCCTAAACACATCATAGTTTTAGCAGTGGGGAATATAAGAACAAACCTTGAAAGGAAAAATGATCAACACTGTAACAATTAGTGTTGGCAGTAATAACAATTAAAATGAAATGTTTTTGATCTCATCTTTTTCTCATGTAAGAGAAAAAAGTTATTAAGAAACAACTGAAAAACAGCAACATCTATTTAGGAGAGGAGAGGTGAAAGGAGAATCGTTATGCATAGTCATTCAAATTATTTTAGACACCTTGGGAAAAAAGGTATAGAGGTGACACAGGCTTGCATGGGTTGAAAACTTCTCTACTGAACTTTTCTTGATATCTTGTGCACATTTCTAAGTATAGCTAATGATGTTTTTTAATCCTATGAATTAATATACAATAACAGATTAACGTATTTGTTAATCTGTTCAGCTATAATTTTTTGTTTCCAGTGAAGCTGAGACTATGTTCTTTCTCTTTTGGTTGTAATAAGCTTTTTTTATTGTTGCTCTTGTTTTAGAGCTGATACACCAATTGCCACTGTTAACAGAAAGACAGTATATAGCTGCATTACATACACGCCTTCAGGAGTCTCGTCCTTGGAAACTACCGGGACTTCAAGCTACTGCTAGATTGGCCTGGGCACTAGCCTTGCGTGGAATTTCACAGCTCTCTGATGTGACAGGTAAACTAGATTCTAAGTGGGATTTATACACAACCTAGTTTCCTCGTTTTCAACAAAGAAAGCAGATAGTGCATTCACATTCCTTTAGATGGTATGGCAGTTTTAAACCCACTTCCTATGAAATGTATTTTTAGTGAGGTGCTTTATAAAACGTTCTATTCCTTCCTCTTCATTCCCTCCAGCGCTTGCAGAATTCACTGAGGCCGACGAAGCCATGGCAGAGTTAGCAATTACAGATAATGTTTTCCTATTCATTACTGAATCTGTGGTGAGAGCAGAAAATTTTTACCAGGATGAATTTTATGTTCGTAGAATCCACAACCTTGTCACAGACTTCCTTGCGCTCATGCCAATGAAAGTAAGTTGTACATGTCTGTACTGCTGAATATAAAGAAGCCAGATATGCCAACAGACTCTTTCTAATACAGACAAGTATTTGTGAGAGTGAATGGTGTGTATAATTTCAGATTGTATGAAATTTTAAAGCCATATTTATGGAAGGACTTAGGCTAGAAAAATAGACCTGGCTCTTAGAAATAAATTAACCGAGACCTTCATTAAATAAGTGTACGTATCATGACTTTCATACAACAACTTTTTGCTGTGGCTCATTGCTCTCTACAGCTGAAGCACAAAGCACCTAAAGTTTACCAATTTCTTTACCATCTAGAATAGTTCCTGGCATATATATATCATGCATCTCCTTGTGTTTACACACATTTAAATATACATGTGTCTGTCTATCTATCTGTCTATCGATGTGTGTGTGTGTTTGCATGTATGGAGGAAACAAACCATAAAGTTGTAAAGGGTTAGGATGCCTTGTCCTGATATATTTCAAGCCAGAAATGCACTTCAAAGGATATTATAAAGTTAATTCCTTATTAGTCCATGTCTGTTTATAATATACAGTGGTGCCTCACATAACGGGTGCCCCATTTAACAACAAATCCGCATACCGATGATGTTTTTGCGATCGCTTTTGCGATCGCATAATGATGTTTTCTATGGGGGGGAATCGCTTTGCGATGATTGGTAAGCTGTTTTGCTTACCGATTTTTGCATAACGATGTTTTTTCCCCAGCTGATTGGCGGTTCCAAAATGGCCGCCGGGTAAAACAGGGACGGATTCCTCGCTTACCGGGCACCCAAAATCGCCGCCATATGGAGGATTTTCGCTTAAAACGTAAGTTTTAAGCCCATAGGAACGCATTGAAGGGGTTTCAATGCATTCCTATGGGCTTTTTAAATCCGCATAGCGATGAATCCGTATAGCAACGATTTTTGTTGCACGGATTATCGTCGCTATGCGGGGCACCACTGTAATTCCACTTATAAGTTGGGACTGAAAGTGGTTATATTGATTATTTGGTCTTAAACCTTGTTTAAAATTTTATTATATTTATTTAATGAAAAGTTGCCATTGTGATCCTTGTCATGCAATAAACGCAACTTTTATTTTTTAAATGTCTGCAGTAATATTTTTATAGCAATAATACTACCCAATGAGAAATTAGTTGAATAGGCCGGTGGCCTGATCCAGCGCAAAATTGCTTATGCTCTTGATTCAGATGGTTTATTATCCAGTTTTCATTCTTTAATTGCGGACTAGCTGCTGTTAGTTTTCTAGTAACAAATTCTCCCCTTAATAGTGAATTTTGTGCATGCTTACTCAAACGTTCTGTTCCAGTGAATTCTGTGAGGCTTGCTTCCATAGAAATGGTATCAAGAAATACAGTATTTGGGTTTTTTCTCTCTTCATTCTTCATTAAGAATAAATAAACTTCCTTCGTAAACTGTGTAGGTGAAGCAGCTGAGAAACCGAGCTGATGAAGATGCTCGTATGATCCACATGAGTATACAGATGGGTAATGAGCCACCTCTTTCACTTAGACGGGATTTGGAACATCTGATGCTTTTAGTAAGTGCTTTTTAAATCATTGATTCCATTACATTTTCAGAAAAGGACGGAACAATAAGAACGTTTGTGAAAAACCTTACCTAGAGCAGTTATTTAAATACATGGGAATTTTTAAAAAGCCAAGTTTTTATTGTATTCTTTCCTGTGTTTAATTTCTATCCTGTTTTTTCTCCTCTAGTGGGGACTCAAGGCAGCTTACAAAAATATTTAAAGTTCACAAATAATTAAAACCATGCTAGCTAAAATTTGAAATTATACTATACTAATATTTAAAAACATTGTATAAGAATTGTGAAACTATATTGTATAGTCTGTTATTTGGTTGATGAGTCCATCTTATCAGTGCAATCAAAACACTTATTGACTTTATATTTTATTTATTGATTTGATTTGATTTGTATGCCGCCCATCTGGTCTATGCATCCACTCTAGGGGGGTAGATTTAATTTTTCCTTCTGGAATTAATATTTTAGTGTTGCTGGTAAGGAGACCAAACTGGGAATATCTAAGGAATTGCCTGAAGAAAGAAGGACAAGAGCAAATTACGCATACATTTCACTTGAAGTTCTTGGAATGAGGAAGGAATCAGATTCTTCTCTGAACCCATTTCTGCCCAGAATCACACATAGGACATTTACTTGTAGCTCAGTCCCACTGGTTGATGCGGCCACCTCCTACACACAGTTACTTCAAGGATAAAGGGATGGGCCAATTGTAAAGGCACTGCCATTGGAATTTTGTAACCTTTTGTAAAATATGTTGATTGTTAAGTCTGTAGTAAGACATTAAACAAGGGGAGATTCTTGTTGATATATGGGGTCTCTCCCCTGTTTCCTTTGCAGATTGCTGAGTTGTACAAGAAGGATACCTTTAATTTGGAACTTGCTCTTGAGTACTGGTGCCCTACAGAGCCTCTGCAGAGCTCCACCATCATGGGGTCGTATCTTGGGATAGCCCATCAAAGACCACCCCAGCGTCAGGTTAGAAAAGATCCCTTCTCTCTTGTAGGTGGGATTGGCCTTAGTATCTTGGACGGGGAGGAGAACTCTTCTTCTGCAGCAGTCAGTTCTATTAAAAAAACCCTGAAGCTAGAAAAAGTGATATGAGCAACCATGAGTTTCTGGCAATTACTTGTGCAGATCATATATCTGCATTAATTACAGTTAATTCTAGAGTCATAGATTGTGGATGTTCCTTCATCCACAAATGATTATGTTTTGGTAAAATGGCATCTTTTGTGTTACAGGTTGTTTTATCTAAATTTGTAAGACAAATGGGAGACCTCCTTCCCTCAACAATTTACATTCCTTATCTGAAAATGCTCCGAGGATTAGCAAATGGGCCCCGGTGTTCTCATTACTGCTTCACTTTGCTGAAGGGCAACGGCAGCAGTCATGGTAAGAAATATGTCCCCATTTGAGCCAAATATTTTCCTGGCATTACATTGGTATCAGCTGGCAAGGCAACCTATCTTCAAACAGAGGCAGAAGGGAAAGCTTGGATTCAAGCTTTCTGTAACTTAATGTTTTATGATACCTCGTTTTTTTCAGTAGCATATTTCTAATCATATTGTTTGTTTTGAAAATCAGTTATTTCTTTTTAGCTGAGATGCTTAGCTAAAAAGATATAAACTAATATTTATTTTATTTCTAACTGTCTTGATTTCAATGTTAATCTTCAGATGCTTTGGCTTTAATTACACATTCAGTTAGATTTAATACACATTTACCTTTTTAAGGAAAATATTCACAGGGAATCAGTTTCAGAAACCATTGTTGGTTTTCCCAGTAATGAACCTTGCAGCAAGGAGTTGATTTTTGGACATCTAGTAAAATAATAATGATAAAGATATGATAATAAATGCATACAAGTAGATATACATGTAGATACATATACATATTTACATTTTCTGAGTATTCTTACATCAGCAGGTGACGTAAAAAGAGTATTTGTCTGCTACACAGATGTCTTACTTACTGCATGCTCTATAATCAGAATTATTTTCTTTTCTAGCTGAAAACATCCAAGGAGCAGGTGGCAGTCCTGTTTCCTGGGAACACTTCTTCCATTCTTTGATGCTCTACCATGAACACTTAAGGAAGGATTTGCCAAGTGCAGATAGCATTCAGTATCGTCACCTTCCTCTCAGAGGAATAACCCAGAAAGAACAGGATGGATTGATTGCATTTCTCCAGCTTACAAAAACTATAGTAAAATGGGTAAGTAGCTTTTCGCCTTACCCGTTTTCTGTTAGCCCCTGAGGTATGGGACTAAGAAGGAATATAAAATCAGTTAGTTAATTTGGCTGCAGACATCCAAGGTATATTATATTAAAAGTTACTGTGAAAACAGAAAGAATGTACATATCAGGAAAGCATATCTACATATCTAGTTTAATTGAAGGCAATTGTGGTAGAAAAAAGATCAAAAATATAACTCTGTTAGCTGTTTACTCCTGGTATAATCTACATGGTGTTAACATTACTGATGAATCAAGCAGAATCTATACAATCATGGCTTTTCTTTCTATCTTGTTTTAGAGTGAAAATGCTCGGTTAGCTCTCTGTGAACATCCCCAGTGGACTCCAGTAGTTATCATTTTGGGCCTTCTGCAATGTAGCATCCATCCCATATTGAAAGCAGAGTTCATAGAAACACTCTCAGCCTTTGGGAAATCTCCTGAAATTGCAGCTTCACTGTGGCAGTCTTTGGAATACACACAGGTAACCTTCCATGGTCGTTCAGCCCTTTCATTTCAGCACTGCACTGCTTTAGCAAGTATTAGAAGTGTTTGCTGGTCCCCAAGTACAGTGGTGCCTTGCTTAGCGATCGCTCCATTTAGCGACAAAATCGCTTAGCGATGCTGTTTTTGCGATCTATTTTGTGATCGCTTTGTGATGTTCCCTATGGGGTATTTTCGCTTTGCGATGACCGATCATCTCAAAGCGACCATTTTCGCACAGCTGATCGGTGGTTTCAAAATGGCCGCTGGGGAAAAACATGGCCACCCGCTATTTTCTAATATGGATTCCTCGCTTTAGAGGCAGCGAAAATGGTGGCGCTATGGAGGATCTTCGCTGAACGGTGAGTTTTAAGGCCATAGGAACGCATTAAACCGGTTTTAATGCGTTTCTACAGGCTTTTTATTTTCGCATTGCGACGTTTTCATGCAACAGCGATTTTTTCAGAACGAATTAACGTTGCAATGCGAGGCACCACTGTATCTTATTCAAATATTGCATTGTTCTTGTTTAGAAAGTTTAAGCAGGTAATAAATCTCACCATATTCATGGCATTATTTCTATGAATATATTAACTGCAGATGTTGGTCCTAAAAAAATACTGAAGACTGCAGTGCAGAGTTTGTTTGCTATGCCTTTTCTGTTGTATTATTTACCTCTGTTTTATTATTTGCCTTTGTGGTATACAGGAAATCTCTGCTAGCAGCTTCTGAGTAATGCTAGAAACGAATTAAAATATCTGTTGTTATTTTGTTTTATTTTGATGCACATAGGAGGAAAGATGTGTGTTGAAGGCAAAGACATCATACTAATATTCTGCTCTCTCTTGAGGTTCTGTTGACAGAATCATGCATCCTTCAAATTGGGGAGGGGCGGCAGGAGTGTGTGGCGTAGATGCAGTTGCTCCCAATCCGTGACCCTGGCTAAGGGAAGCAAGTCATGGAAGTATGAACTCCTTCCCCATAGTCACTCTCTTGCAAATATTCCCTAGTGTTACTTGTGGTCTGTTATGATGTCTGCATGGCATGTGCTTTTGCAAAGAAAGTGGAGAAAGCTTAGGAAGAGGGACAGTGATCTGGTTTCAGGAGCTGGAAGCGTCACATCTGCATCTGCCTAAACTTCTCTTGTGAAATGAAGTCTTTTCAGAGGCAGACATGAGTGCTGAAAATGAAAATTTCTTTTAGGAATAGTAATTAAAGGAGACATTTATAAAATGACATGTGCAACAAAGCATGGCACATATTTGTTGTGGTGTTCTTTTGGTAATTGTGAAAATGCATTTTCCTCTTTCTGTCATTTTGTTTTTGGAAGATACTGCAAACTGTGAGAACTCCAGGCCAAAGACAAGCCAGTGGCATTGAGGTAATGTTTGTCTGTAACTGTAAACTAAATTATTGTATAAAGTAAGAAGTTGTAAAACTGCCATTGTCTTTGCTTAAGTGAAGGACCTTTTAATCCATTATTTTCTGTTTAAAATAAAACAGTTCAATAATTTACAGTATTAAATTATTTACTATAATAATTTATTAAATTACAATTTAGTAAAACATATTCCGCTAACAGCTCACAAAAATTTATTAAACCAAATACGTTATGATGAGATCTGTCAAGAACTGTTATACATGATATCACTACATGAACTTTATCAAACTAAAGATAATTGTAACTGGAGATTTGGAAAAGACAGGACCTACTGAAATTAGGGAACTTCACATATTCCTGATTTTGTGTTGACTGTGTGCATTTTGGAAACCTGTGGGACTTGAACTCAGTGTGACTTAACTTGAAATGTATGCCTGTGGCATTGTGCCAAAGTAAATACAGTGGTACCTCGCTAGACGATGACCCCGCTGTACGACGAATCCGCAGGACAGTGACTTTTTGCAATTGCTATAGCGATTCGCAAAGCAGTCATTCTTATGGGGAAATAAATAAATAAATAAATAAATTCCACTGGACATCGACTAGGTCCACGCTTTGCGAAACGTTTGTTCGCAAGACGACAATTTTTCCTGCTCCGCAAAATGGCTGCTTTCCTATGGGGGATTTTCGCTGGATGTCGATCAGGTCCGTGCTTCGCTAACCGTTTGTTTGCAAGACGACAATGTGTTCTGGCTCTGCAAATTGGCTGCCCTATGTTTTCTGGACCCATGCTTCACAGGGCAGCCATTTTAACAGCTGATCGGCGCTCAGAAAATGGCTTCCCCTATGGCCGATCTTTGCTGGACAACGAGGTAATTTCCCCATTGGAACGCATTAAATGGGTTTCAGTGCATTCTAATGGGGAAGCTGTTTTCACTGGACGATGTTTTCGCTTAACAGCGATTTCAGAGGAACGAATTATTGTCGTGGTGCAGGGCACCATTGTATGTAACAACTGGCTGGATAGCTCAGTGAATTAGATTTCTGTCTGTGGAGCCAAGGGTTGGAAGTTCAGTTCCACACTCTGCATCCCAAAAGAGCCAGCCTGTGTGGCCGTGGGCAAGCTGCAAAGTTCCAGGGCACCTCCAAAAGGAGAGAAGGGTAAACCACTTCTGTGTACTCCCTACCTTGAAAACCCTGAGAAGGGCTTCCATAAGTCAGAATTGACTTGATTGCACACAATTATTATTATTATTAAATATGTAATGTGTTTCTAGTCTGTTTGCTTTCAAACTGTGCTTTTCTTGTATGCTTTGACAGGTTGAATTGAATGAGATTGAATCCCGGTGCGAGGAGTATCCTTTAACTAGGGCGTTCTGCCGACTCATTAGCACACTGGTAGAGAGTTCTTTTCCTTCTAACCTTGGGGCGGGCTTGCGGCCCCCAGGCTTTGACCCCTATCTACAATTTCTGAGGGAAACTGTGTTTCTTCGGTTTCGCACAAGAGCTTATCGAAGAGCTGCTGAAAAGGTTGGTTTGGCTTCTTTCTGTTATATATTGGTAAGAGAAGGACTTGTTATACTTTCCAGACGCCTCTGTTGCCTCGTTATGGCTACAGGTAGGGCCAGCCTTAGCCAGATATTTTCCAGCTTCAGACATTTAGCTGCCAGGAGGACTAAGCTGGTATTCAGGGAGGTAGGATATTTTCTTGGTGAGGTTATGGCTCTTTCTCACTCTCTGTGTGCACATGCTTTAAAAAAACAATTCCACATCTCAGAGACGTTTACCTCTGCTAGACTTCAAAAACTCCCAATGACTGCTACAAACGTTTGTGGGGTTACTTTGTATTGTCTTTGTTTAATTATCCAGCCAGCTTTTTTTCTAAAATCCTACGGTTCCTAGCAGTAAAACTACATTGAATTAGCATCTAGGTTTTTGTGGAATCATATTACCATAACATTACAACGGTACTTTTGCTGTTGTAGATCAGAAGAGATGTAATGTTTCATAAGGGGTGTATATCAGTGGTGAAATACATATTTTACTACATTCTAGTCCCAAATTTGGGAGGACGTGGTGGTGCTGCGGGTTAAACTGCAGAAGCCTCTGTGCTGCAAGGTCAGAAGACCAACAGTCGTAAGATCGTATCCACGCGATGGAGTGAGGTCCCGTTGCTTGTCCCAGCTCCTGCCAACCTAGCAGTTCGAAAGCATGTAAAAATGCGAGTAGATAAGTAGGTACCGCCATGGTGGGAAGGTAATGGTGTTCCGTGTCTAGTCGCACTGGCCATGTGACCACGGAAACTGTCTTCGGACAAATGCTGGCTCTACGGCTTGGAAATGGGGATGAGCACCGTGCCCTAGAGTTGGACACAACTGGACTAAATGTCAAGAGGAACCTTTACCTTTACCAAGTCCCAAATTTAATCCTTGCATTATAGAGTAGGGCTAGGAGAGTCTCCTATCTGAAGCACTGAGAGAGCTGCTGCCCTGTGTGAAGCCAAGTTTAAGATTTCTCCCTATCCTGTCATGGCTGCCAAGAAGGATTGTGTTGGGTAGGAGGAGAGAACAGTACCCAGAACTGACCTCATGTGAAACCTCTTTGCCCAGCAATGTGAGAAAGCCACTGTTGCAGATGGGGTTGGGGGTGGGCTTGGCAGTGACCATGAGGCCTTTCTCACTAAAAGAAAAGACTCCCCAGGGTCAGAGTGCAAAAGGTCTGGGAGAAAGTCCTTGTGGGAGGCCCTGTGGGAGAGGCAGCTATGCTTGCTAAGATTCAAGCCCTCTCTCTTCCAAAAGGACAAAGAAGGGCAAAAGGAAGCCAGGGAGCAGAAGCACAAAGAGGAGATTTTGGGAGCCTGGTCTCGGGCGGTTTAAGTCAGCAGGCCATTCCAACCTTTACTCGGTAGTGGGCCTCCCATTACAGAACATAAAAGTGCCTGAGGGCGTGCGAATAGGGGGCGGGAGGTCTGTCTCTGCCGCCTGGTCCGGCTCAGACCACAGACCGGGGATTGGGGACCTCTGTTTTAAAGCATTACTGGGTGTCATAGTTTTGTGGATTATAAATATGTTAGTGTACATACTTCAGATTTCAAGTTTTTTTCCTCTGCTGCCGTTACTGTTTCAGATCCATGTTTCACTGAAGGTGACTTGGATTGAAATGTTTACTGCCTGTAAAATTCTACTGTTCTTTAAATCCTGCATTACATGTTTTTCTTGGCAGTGGGAAGTAGCTGAAGCAGTTCTGGAAGTGTTCTACAAATTATTGAGAGATTATGAACCCCAGCTTGAAGACTTTGCAGACCAATACGTCGAATTGCAAGGCATGTTCTTTCCTCGTTCATTTTAGCTTAGTTTTTGCATCTTGTGGTGAGAGGCAGAAAGATAACCAGCTTTTTTATCCCCTGGGTCATTTCCATGGGCTGATCCTTGGGAGCCAGCCACAAATGTATTTTCCTTGAAGGTCAAAACTAAAAGTGAACTCGCTTCTAGTTTTAGCCTCTGCTCCATTTGGGAAGATACCCTTTTGATGAAGCAAGGCCTTGTGCTTTGCTTTAAAGAAGAATTGCTACTGGAGGCTTCCAGGAGCATGGTTCTCCTTGTCTTGAACAACATTATTTACTGGTTGTGGCAGTTGGGGAGTGGAGGTGTTCTAGGTGTGAAACATTGCATAGGATGGGATATGTGGCCCATAGCTGTCTTGCATTACATGGGTAGGAGCAGGGTGAGAAGAGGGCCACTCCTGGCAAGGGCATCACAGGTAGGTTTAGGAGAGAGCCATGTCATAAGAGGATTATACTTACAATGTAAAAGGATGTGTTGGGGGTTTATTTCATTTATTTTAAATATTCTTACTCAACCATTCTGCTTAAAAAGAAAGGATCTAAGGCAGACTGCATCATTAAAAGACAGCATTTAAAAGCTATAGACAGGATGGCTTGGTACGTTCCAAACTCTGAAGTAAAGCATGAAAAGAAGGACTTAAAAATGAATCTTAACAAAGCAGGAGAAGTGAAGGCAGCACAGAAGAAAGCGAGAGGAGCTTTAATCAGAAGCAGGGCTTTGAAAGTAAGGCTAGTATTTTAAAGTTGATGCAGTTACTGACATAGGTTGCACCAGTACAGAATCGGGGTGCTAATAATCTTCTCCATTAGTAGTAGTGCAAGTGGACAGCAAGAGTTTAGGAGGGATTTTCTTGATGGTTAAAAGAGAATTAATGCTAGGAGGGAAGGCCAACTAGGTGTGGTATAACACTGGTGGCAGTTTAGATAAGAGGCAATGAGAGCAGTGATCCCAGCAGCATATACACAAAATATAAAAGTGCTAAAAACGGGGGAAATTGGCTGGATTTTGAAGTTGTTTGGATGTTGCTACAGAATGAGAAATGGGAAGGCAGAACATTAACAATTCTCTGGAAAACTGGAACACTGTTAAATAGATTTGAATTGTGCTTTTCATTTTTAGGAGAAGAAGTTATAGCTTATAAACCACCTGGATTTAGTCTCATGTATCATCTGTTGAATGAATCCCCAATGTTAGAACTCTGTCTTAGTTTACTGGAAGAAGGGGTTAAGCAACTGGATACCTATGCTCCTTTCCCTGGTATGTAGAAGAGTTTTTTCCTTGAAAAGTGAAAAAAAAATCAGTAGTTCTTAAGCATTAATGTTTCCAGATGTCACAAGTGTCAGAAGTGCTTGAGAGTGGGTTTGGGGTTGTATGTGTATAAATTTTGACGTGTGGTTCTACCCATGTGTTTATTTTATTTTTCTAGACATGGACATACAATTTATTTGTCTCATTTATTTTCTTTCCTTTTTAAAGGGAAGAAACACTTAGAGAAAGCTGTTCAGTATTGTCTTGGGCTGCTCAATTTCACTCTACAAAAAGAGAACCTTTTCATGGACTTACTCAGGGAAAGCCATCTCTCCCTGATTGTAACTTCTCTAGAACAGCTACTGCAAGGAATAAACCCTCGTACAAAAAAGGCAGACCATGTGGTAAATATTGCAAGGTAAGCCCAAAATAATTGGAAAGAGAGGTGTGGCTCCAGAAATGTTTGGACATAATGTTCTTTTCCCTTTTGAAATATTCCGAAGGATTACTGTGCTGCTCAGAGATATTTACTGTTTAGTAGGCTTTCTAAAAGTAGGGATATAAGAAGTTGCCTGAGGCTACTGGTCAGACCCTTGGTCCATGTGATCCTGTATTTCCAGCTCTGACTGACAGCAGTGCTCAGGGTTTCGGGAGACTGAATTTGGGACGTTCTGCATGAAAAGCATCTGTTCTGCCACTGAGTTGTGGCCTCTCCCCATAGTGTCCCTGTACTATATTGATCTGGGTTAAAGAACTCGATCCTCTCGTGGTGTCTCAGAGAACGCATTCTGAGCAATTGCATATTGCCTTTGTGAATCAAATGACAGCTAAATTATTTCCTTCGGTATGGTAAAGTGATAACTTGGAGTTTGACAGGCTAAGTTTAAACCACAGACATTGGGGTGAGAACAGACAGTTATAGATGATAAATGAAGGGATAGTCTGTATGTTTGAGGTGGAACATTAGCCATTTGGGTAGTATATTGTACTGAGAAGCGATGGCCGTATAAATGTTTTAGCAGGGACAATGGGACTTGTAATAAAATACTGCAGTGTGGAAGGCTGCTGTTCAACATACTCCATTCTTTCTCCTTCCTGATTTTCTATTCTTCCTCTGCCCTTGCAATGCTCAGTCAGTCTACTGTTTCTGCTGAGCACAGCCATTCATCATATAACGTTCATCATATATCCTCCACCCCATTTGAATCCACCCCAAACTGGCCTAACAAGATTGTCTTTTTATTCCTGCAAACTGTTTGATTCATCAAAACCTGCCACCACCACCTTGTGTGCAGACAGGTCTGTTTTAGCTACCTGAGGACCAGGTTGTGGGGAACTGAATGCAGCATTAGTTATTCAAGTGAGGAGTACAGTGGTGCCCCGCATAGCGACGATAATCCGTTCTGAAAAAATCGTCGCTATATGGATTCGTCGCTATGCGGGGCAAAAAAGCCCATAGGAACGCATTGAAACCCCTTCAATGCGTTCCTATGGGCAAAAAACCCACTGTTCTGCGGAAATGCTCCATGCGGCCGCCATTTTTGCTGTCCGGTAAGCAAGGAAAGGGCTCAAAAACACTGCAGGCGGCCATTTTATTTACCCAGCGGCCATTTTGTAACCACCGATCAGCTGTTCCTAAAACATCGTTATGTGATAATCGGTAAGCGAAACGCTTACCGATCATCGCAAAGTGATGTTTTCCCATTTAAAACATCGTTATGTGATTGCTTTTGCTATAGCAAAATCTCAATCGCTATGCGGATTCGTCGTTAAACGAATTGCTCGTTATGCGGGGCATCACTGTACATTAAAATGTTGGCAGGTGGAGTGCTTTGATTCAGGATTTTAGTCACTCCATTCCATACACATGCAGGCACACTTTTCTGTTTTTCCATCCAGCAGGCAAGTCAGTGTTATCTGGCCACGGAGCATTCTCAGTTCTTACTAACTTGGTTGGGAGATTTCTCCTCCCTCTTCAGGTTTTGTTTGCTTGCTAAGAATTACTTTATACTTTTAGAAATGTTGGAGAACTTTCCTCCTGATAGATTCTTCTTTTGCATGGGTGATGCTATGTTGTTTTGGCTTCCCAAGCAATAACTTCCACAGCCTGAATACCAGAAATAGAGGAGAACAAAGAGCTACAATTATGTTTATACTTTTAACCTGCATTTATTTGCTTTAGGCTCTGGATAGATCAACAATTCCTGTAATGTTCTTCTCACTTTTAGGTATCTTTGCCATGGGTCAGCCAACCCTGAACTGGCTTTTGAAAGTTCCAAGATCCTGTGTTGCATTTCTTGCAGTTCTAACATTCAAGTGAAACTGATTGGAGACTTCACACAGGATCAGGTAACTGTTGTATGTTTTCCAACCAAGAGAAGAGAAGGAGAAAAATGTGACTATTGAATGACAAATGGCTTTGCTGTTGCAATATTTGGGTGGAGCTGTTAAAGTTGCAAAGCATATGACTTCCTCTCATTCACATGGAGAAAGTGAAAATACGAAGGAGAAATCCAGGATTTGGTTTTCTTTTAAGCAGTTGATACCAAGCAGTCTGATTTCCCTTCGCCTTCCTTTTTTCTCTTTTATGTATTGTGGGAAAGGCTTTAGACTATGAAGAATTGGAGGGCTACAGAAATCATGCATGATGCCTCTCTTGTTTAGAGTCTTTGTGTATGAAGCTGATGTTGTGGTAATGGTTCAGGGTGTAGCTAGAATTAAAGCCAGGTTAGTGTGACTAAGAGAGATTCTCAGTGATCAGAATATTCATACACTCAAATTGTTGTCCTGGTCTCACAACAAACTGAGTATAACCTTGCAAGTGTATTTTACTTCAAATTAGTACATTTTTAAATATCTTGCTATATTTTTGTTCCTATCCTTTGATTTTAAATCTAGAGTGTCAGCCAAAAATTAATGGCAGGATTTGTGGAGTGTTTGGACAATGAAACTACAGAAGAAATAATTAATCCCTTTGGAGGTATGAAAGCAGTTCATTTTTGTTTTACATAAAAATAAGCAGTTGAATTGCTAAAAATAAAAATCAGAAAGACTTATGTGACTCTAGCATGCAGAACTCAACCATTTTATTTACTGACTTGTGGAAGAGCAGGAAAAAACATCTGTGGGTTTTTATTTTGCTCTTACATTTTGAGCAAATTTGTAAAGAGTGTTTACCAAAATGTCGAGCAATTTGTAAATGTATTTCAAAACAATTTTCTCCAAAAGTTATTTGTTCACCCTTTTTTATGAATGCAGGTAGGCTGGTGGTTACATAGCTGATCATTATTAGACTCTTCACCAAGATTCTGAAATACATTTGTAAAACGTATTTTCCAAAAAATTGCTCATCTGGTTGCCTCAATGTGTTGCCATAGGTGGTTAGGCGAGTGCATAATTAACAAGTCTTTTGTGAATTGAAAAAGTGATGATTTTATTAACAGGAATTATATGTTGATTCAGTGCACACTTAATGGAAAATCCTCTATGTATTGGTATAGTGTATCCCATGATAACATATATTATAGTGTTTGCTATATGTTACTGTAGTGTATTAATTTATATTTTTTATTTCAAGAACTTGAAGTGGAAAGGAAGCAGGGCCCAATCTACCATGAAACAAAGATTAACATCCTGAACCTTCTTATCACCTCTTTGGAGTGCAGCCCACCCAATCTTGCTCTGTATCTCCTGGGTTATGAATTTAAGAAGCCTGTCAGTACCACAAACTTACAGGACCCAGGTATGAACCTAGGAAGGATGGTAGGTTTGTAGGGAATTGTGGTTAATGGTTGATTGGAATTTGCCTTCAGCTGGAACAAATCGATCTAAAAGTAGAAGAAACCAAATTTTGTTCATTATTGTTAAGCAACATTCGTTATGCTCAGGAAGCCAAACAAAAAGTTCTAAATACTGTTCCAGTTATCAAGAGCTATCTTGTAATTTATGAATCATATTAAAATTAGTGCACCACAGAAACCATTGATAAGTAAACTACAAAATCTTTCAAATTTTTAGAATTTATTTATTTATTTATTTGATTTGGACCAATGGACCACTCTAGGCAGCTAGAACTCTCTGATACAACAAATGTAATTTTTATACAGTGGATCTTTAAAACATGATGTAACTTTCCATATTAAGTACTCCTGTTAATATGCCATGCAATTTATTTACTGAAGTCTGAATCTTGCATTTCTCAGGCGTGTTGGGTTGTCCTCGTACGTGTCTTCATGCTATTCTGAACATTCTGGAGAATGGGTCTGAAACAAGATCTGGTCCCAAAGCAGTTCAACAGTCTCCTCATCTGGCAGAGTTGTGTTATCAGGTATACACAATATTTCTCTTTGGGGAAAAGCTATGATAGAATCTTTGGCATCAAGTCAACAAGCTGGCAGAGAATAGAAAATTGATTTTGGCAAAAGTTTAAAGTACCATGTAAAGTCTTCATGTACTATTACTGCAGTCATATGCATGTGTGTGCAGACATGCTGAATTTGGTGGGATTTATTTTCAGACAAGTATTTATAGGATTGTAGATTAAGCTATTTTTTTCAGAGCTGCTACATGTCGCCTTAACTTGCTGAGTGAATCACAGTTAAATAAGTTAACGCATTGCTGTATTGTTTTGGCTTTGTATTCTTTTATACCTATAAAGGTAACCAATATCTGTGTTCTCTGATTATACAGGTGATTTATCAATTGTGCGCCTGCTCAGATACTTCAGGCCCAACTATGAGATATTTGAGGACCAGCCAGGATTTCTTATTCTCTCAGTTGCAACATTTACCATTTTCTGTCAAAGGTAAGACTTGAGTAGATCATGTGTTCAGTTCTTATTTGCTCTTTGAAAAAAATATGCATTTTCTTACATTCTACTCTCTTTGGCATAACTTCTCTCTTCAGAGCATGAAATTCCAGCCTTGAACCAAATGTCATGGCTAATGAAGATTGCATCTATAGAATTAAGGGTTACTTCTTTGAACCGTCAGCGTTCTCACACACAGAGACTCTTGCACCTCCTTCTAGACGATGTGCCAGTGAAATCTTACTTAGGTAAGGTTTTCTCCTTTTTTCTTGCATTGTTGTTAACATTGCGGTTATATAAAGCTGCTGTTGAGTGGAACATGTCACTACTAATGTATAATCCGCTCAGATATACTCAAAGGAACATCCAGAATTTAAATGTTCACAAGTTGGCATATGCCATCCTGCATGTTGATTGATTCTCATCTTACCTGTGGAAGATAAAGCCTAGCCACCACTTCATAATCCTTAGAAGCCCATTTCAGACCTTCAGAAATATTAATCTTGAGTACACTTTTTCACAATATCAGGCTACATGGGCCTCTGGTCTGAAGAGAACAGTTGTCTCCATATTTGGAATATTTCTGTGAGATTGGGAATCATGATTCATTTTTGATCGCACAGCCAACTCTTCTCTTCATACTTAGTTGTCCACGTGACTGGTCTTTTTAGCTCAGTATTCAAATTCTAATTGGCAGTGCCTCTTCTGCACTCTGAGCAGGTTTCTTTCCCTTGTCACACATAGAATTTTATTATTTATTTCTTTGTTTATTAGTTGGCTTTCTGCCCTTCCCTTCAATGAGCTGAAGTTGATGACCATGGCTCTCTCCTTCCCATTTCATCCTCACAGCAACCATGTGAGAGACATCAGGCTGAGAGACTGACTGTTCCACTGTCATCCAGTGGGTTTATGAAAAAGTGGGGATTTGAACTCAGGTCTTCTGAGTTGTAGTCCAACACTGTAACCACTGCACTGCACTGGTATTACCTGGTCGTCTCCCATCCAATTAAACAGGCCCAACCCTGCTTAGCTTCTGAAATTGGATGGGATTGGGTGTATATAGGATGGTGTGAGGTTAGTTATAATGGAAGGTAAGAATGAGGAAGCTGTTGCATTAACTCCCACTGTGCATACATGCCCAGTGTTCTCAGCTTCATGTGACATTTGTTGAAAATGAATCAGTTTTGTTATCTAAATAGTATTACTGTACTGGAATCATCCTGTCAGTAATACTGAACACATTTACAGCACATTCTGGTTACCCCATAACAATTGAAGGTCTGTGTAATTATGCCATATATGAATTTCATAGAACATATGAAATAAATGTCTATAGCCCAGTAATTCTTTCAGCATTTTTTAGAAACCAGCAATATTTTATTTTGTTTGTTAAATTTGAATCATTTTTAAATTTTATCCCTCTCAGCTGATGGTGAAGGAGGAATAGAAGATGAAAGTCGGTCAGTCAGTGGATTTCTCCACTTTGATACAGCTTCCAAAGGTAGGTAGCCTTGAAGCAGCATTTATTCAGTTTGTGATCTACAGCAGAGAGATTTTTGTACCATGAACTGCAAAGTTTGTGTAATGCCTTTGGTTTTGCTTCTGCTAACTGGGAAATACACATAGCATAATCTAATTCAATTAACTCTAGACTGTATGCTGTTTAAGTGTCTTTATTTCAAAGTGTTGGTTTTTTCCTCTTTCTAGTGCACATCTCTTTGTTCCCTTGAAACTTTTCTGTACTATCTTGAATCACACGAGATTCCAAGACAGTGAGCTTTAATTGAATACAGTACAGTCAAGTGGGCAAAAAGCGATGTATTAATTTGGAGGATACTGGGCCTTTTTGTCTCCAGCACTTCTGTATAACAACCTCCAGGCTGATTTTTTGTGTTTATATGTTCAATGTGATTTGCTCTAGAGAGGAGTAAAAAGATGAGAAATCCTAATGCACTCCAATTGTTCTTAGGTTCAGGAGGAGTTATCGTGCTGGACTGGAACCATACGGGTTCAGGCTCAGACTATGAGTAGATGTCATGTCTATTTGAGATCTCAGAGCAACATGTTTCACCAGCATTCATGCAAATTCTGATTCCTCAGTAATTCTGAAAAACTGTCTTATTTCCTCCTCAGTACGCAGGAAAATCTTGAGTATTCTTGACTCAATTGACTTCAGTCAAGAGATCCCAGAACCTTTGCAGCTGGATTTTTTTGATCGTGCTCAGATTGAGCAAGTCATTGCCAATTGTGAGAACAGGAGTGCCCACGGGCCAGTCATCTGCAATGTCAAGGTGAGCAGCTGTCAGAAAAATTGGTGTCCTGAGAAAGGGTTAAAACAGCACACTCCATGTACAATAATGTGGGCATATGTTTCTTTTATTTGCTTTTGTGTAAAAAAAATTAGATCTATGGTTAGCCCTCCTGGTGGGAAAGATGAGAATTCTCAGATTTGGTTAGGTCATGCTTTTCATTTTATTTCACAGTTTGAGGAATGAGAATCCTTTAAATTCTTGTATATTATTATAAGAGCTATAATACTGTAATCAGACTAAATCTCTGTTGTATTCGCTGCTGTATGAGAGTAGGAAAATGCAACAAAGATTCAGTGACTTAAAAAATGTCAATATTCCTTTATCAAATTATGGCATAAATTCAATCCCTCTGGTTTGTAGACAAACTGTTAATATTGTATGGCTATTTTGCTCAGAATTGTATCCAAACAGCAGGAAGACTGCCATACAGTATTGCTTACATATAAAAGGATACCAGAAAGTCATGACCTTCCTATCTGCTCTCACCCCTCCACTCACACACACACCTTCTCTTCATAAATTCTAGCATCTCCACAAGGTTCTGATTGCTGAAGTTAATGCCCTGCAAGGCATGGCTGCCATTGGACAGAGACCGTTACTTATGGAGGTAAGCCCAAATAAAATATGTTGGATATATTTATCATGAAAAGAAGGGCTTGGGTTATTCAATAGTTACACTTCTGGACTTTTTTTCATTTATATTGGAGGGAGAGAGTCTCCAGCCAGTGACGGGCCAGAATTCAGCCTGTGGAAGGTACCAGATTACTCTGTCCTCCAGCTTCTGTTTCCCATTTAGGCTATGGAAAAGACAAAGGGAGAGATCATGCATGTATCTCTGATCAGAGATAGAGATTCCTTTCCATACTGCTCTCTCGACCAGTCACAAGGAAGTCACAGGGGAACAACGCTTAAGTTTAATTAGCCAGTATTTTTGCGAGGGTTCAACTAGTATCCACCAACCAGTGAAGGAGTGTGGGGGAGAGATCTGACCCCATAAATGGTTCTTCATCACTGATTTTATATAGTATCTCTCAGATTGTAAGTCTTTACAGATAAATTATTTTTAATACTTAATGTCATTGACTCAGCAGTACTTTGAAGTAGATTACGTTAAGTGATCTTGCCTTACCTAAGACTACCCAGCTAGTACGATGCTGGTTTCCTGATGAGGTATAGCAATGCTTCTGGGGAACAGTGGGCTTGGGAAATTGGAGACTGCCATTCAAAGGGCTGTATGGGCTTAGTTTCTGTCTGCAGTTTCTCTTCTAGTTCTGCAGTTCTAAAATTATGATATTATTATTATTATCATTTGTCCTACGAAAGCAAACTTCCTTTTTAAGAAACTCCTATTTTTTATTATTATTATCATTTGTCCTACAAAAGCAAACTTCCTTTTTAAGAAACTCCTATGCAGAATCCCTGGGGAACATTTGCAGTGCATATGTACTTACATAATTGTTGATTGGAAGCTAAGGGCTATTTCTTTATTCATTATTTTTATACCCCACTTTTCCTGCAGTCAGCTCAAAATTTCATATGGGGTTGCCCCATTTTTTCTTACAACTGTCTTCCACGTTGCATCATGCTGAGAGAGAATCACCCAGTGAATATCATGGGTTTTGGGCAACTACGTAGAATCTCAGTCTCCCAAGTCTCGGTTCCAACACTTTAAATACTTTACCACACTGGTTCACTTGTGTAATATAATGTATAGTATCTGTGAGACTTTAAAAAACCTGTATTTTAGATATGACCTCTGTTATCTCACCCTAAACAGGTTTTAGTCTGTAATGTGGTTTCTTTTAATTGATTGTCCAGGAAATCAACACAATTCTCCAGTATGTTGTGGAAAGGAACAAACTTCTTCAGTGTCTCTATGCCAAGCGACATGCACTAGAATCCTGGAGGCAGCTAGTAGAAATTATATTAACTGCCTGCCCACAGGATCTCATACAGCCTGAAGACAGACAGCTTATTATTCGTGATCTGTTACAAGATCTGCATGACAAGGTAAAACGGCATGTTATTATCATTACACTGTAAGAAAATCTTCAAAAGGGATGTCCCTTGATTTAAGAGAGAAATGTGGAGCATCTTATAAAATATCTATGATTTGCATCCTATTTCCTACCTATTTTTCTACATGAAAATTGAACAGGCTTTAGTTCAGCAATCCTTATATAGATTTTTGGCACAACTGCTTTTCAGCATCCTAGTACCAGACTATTCTTAAAACTTACTTAAGGGAATTAGAGAAGGCCAGGGATGGGCTCTATGTGTTTCTAAGTTGTTGCCACTGTACTTTTGAGATCCATTGTATAGCAAGAGAGGAGTTGCAAAGAATTGTAGTGTAATGTGTTGCCCTGCACCCTTTGTCCTTCAGATTCCTTTGTCTTATTTTTATTATTTAAAATGGGGTAATTTACATTGTAGTAATTTGTATTAGGTGGTCTATAGAAATGATGCAGCTTTGTATCACTAGTAAGTCCCCCATCTTGATTCTTCCTTTTCTTCCTCAAAGATCCTGAATGATGACGCAGCTCAGGAGGTGATGCCTGTTGTGGCAGGAGCTGTGTTCACTCTGACTGCCCACCTAAGCCAGTCTGTGCGCACAGAGCAAAAGGAGCCATTCGCTGTCCCTGTCCCTGGACACACCCAGTTTGTCTTGATGCTGGATGGTTCTTTCGCAGCACCACCGGGTTCTGAAGGCATGGTGGTGGGATCTGCCTCCATCGGAGACTCTTCTCTACATATTATATTGAAAAAAATTCTGGATTTTATTCTAAAAACAGGTAATATTAAAAGCACAAATCAGTATTGTGCCTTTTGGGAAGAGAGGTTTTTAATACTTCATTGATTCTTGCTCCAGCTTTTATTAAATGAGTTGTTTTTGCATTGTAAAAGATGATACTGTGTGTGGAAATAAAGAATTGAGATGCATGTTACCAGAAGAATACATATGTTCTCATGTCCATGCTTCTGTTTGAGCAGGTGGTGGGTTCCAGCGAGTGAGGACACACCTGTATGGAGCGTTACTGTACTACCTCCAGATTGCCCAGAGACCAGATGAACCAGAGACTCTAGAAGCAGGTAGAATGCAAATTAGTTAAAAATGAAGAATGTATGCTTGAGGTTGAGACTTAATGAGCTCACCCCTGAAGTGAACATTGGGGCAAAACCGAGATTCACAACCTCACACTGTTGCTCATTCTCCTTTAATAGTAACACTGTACCATTTGTACTACCTTTTCTTTTGGCACACCAAATGTTGTATATAATATTTCAGAGGCACATGTACTTTGTTCAGCTGAGAGGATTGTTGTTTCTGTATTGTTCTAAACTATGTTTTTCTGCTGAGCAGTGCATGGTATTGTCACTTGAATGTTCTGCCTAAAATGCTTCCTTCGCTCCTCACCCCTTCAGTGTCTCGCTATCTGTTTCTTCTCTAATTGACATGCTCAAGTCTGGCTTTCTTTTTCACTCAAAATTTTCTGCTATGTTTTACAGCCAAGAAGACCATGTGGGAGCGTTTAACAGCTCCTGAAGATGTTTTTAGTAAATTGCAACGAGAAAACATGGCAATTATTGAAAGCTATGGTTCTGCCCTGATGGAGGTTGTTTGTCGAGATGCCTGTGACGGTCACGAGATAGGCCGGGTAAGTGAACTTCTCTTTGGATTTTAGGCAGGCTAAAGCCAAATGAAGTATTGGGACAGGGGCATTCACTTTATAATTTCAAATATTTCAAATATGTATTAAAATAAAGAACTGCCTGATGGTTTTGAAATTCAGTCAATCCATCCTTTGGGACTCTTAAGTTTTTTGCACTAAAGACAAGGCACCACTGCAAGACCCTGATCCATGAAAGCTAGAGATTGTATGACTTCTTTAAGGTATTGCCTTAATAGCCTATGCCTGCATTTGCATTGTATAAGGAACACATGGCTCTCCTTTAATTCAATAAAACTTTGAAATTGTGAAACATTGGCTGAAATTCTGTTGCTTAGCTTATTTAGTAGTAGAGATGGGTGTATACAAATATCCCTCCACAGGTGGAGATAACAAGGGGCTGAACAGTCCACTCACAATTCCGCCACTGACGCAAGCTCGACAGAGCCTTTCTATTGCTCCATTGCTTGTGATGGATTAGCCACTCTGCAGCCTGGCAGAGAGGCTTGTCATCCCGCCTTCTGCCAGGACTGGCTAATCTGTGAGCAACGAAGCAATAGGAAGGCTCCGTTGAGTTTGCATCAGCGGCAGAATTGTGAGTGGACCATCCGGCTCCATGGGGCCGGACCCTTGTTATCTCCACTTGTGGGGGGATATTCATATACAAATACCCCCATCTCTAATTAGTAGTACTAGAGTAGGCCTTTTGAGTCAGTGGGAATTTGGTGAGGCAACTTCTCTGTAAATCCCATTGATTCAAATTGGCCTACTCAAGGTTTGATGTACTTTAATGTAATAAGTTGCAACTAGAGTAGGCCCATACAAATCCATGGAGCTTATGGAAGAGTTGATTCACCTAATATCCACTGATTCAATAGGGTAACTTACTACACTAACAGGATTTCAGCAATTATATTGCTGGTAAGTAGTTAACATGGAAATAGTACATAGTACTATGCTTTCCATATAGTGGGGTCATGTAGGACAAGAATGTCCTGCTTAAATCAGTTGTTTGGATGCACGTTTTACATATGAATTAATATTTATTCCTTGTTAATGTGTATCATCTCTTTTCCCTTTTCAGATGTTAGCACTAGCCTTACTTGATCGCATTGTCTCTGTGGATAAGCAGCAACAGTGGTTGCTATATCTGTCCAATAGTGGGTATTTGAAAGTGCTTGTTGAAAGCCTAGCAGATGATGACCGCAAACTGCAAAGCTTGCTTACACCTCAGCCTCCTCTACTTAAAGCCTTGTATACCTATGAATCCAAAATGGTAAGATTTTCCTATTTTCCTGTTGTCTAGTCAGTTAATGCTGCTTGTTGTCCGAATATAAGAAACTTTTGGAGGATATAGTTAAAAGAACATAGGGCTTACTTGTGGTATATATTGATTTCCCATGTTCATTATTTTTTACTTTCAGCACTAAGTTACATAATTTTAGGTATGTGTTCTCAAAGGCTTTCATGGACTGTAGTTTCTATGGACGGAAAAGAGCAGATACGGATTAAATGGTTTTCAATGCATTCCTATGGGAAATGCAGATTCAACATAAGAACTTTTCAACTTGAGAACCACCTTCCAATACGGATTAAGTTCTTAAGTAGAGACCCCACTGTATTGATTTCCCATGTTCATTATTTTATACTTTCAGCACTAAGTTACACAATATTAGGTATGTGTTCTCAAAGGCTTTCATGGCGGGGATCCGATGGTTATTGTGGGTTTTTCAGGCTGTTTGGCCATGTTCTGGAGGTTTTTCTTCCTAACATTTTGCCAGTCCCTGTGGCCAGTATCTTCAGAGGACAGCAGCTAGAGAACACAGAATTCTAGCTCCTGTCCTCTGAACAGGAGCTAGAATTCTACGAACAGGGACAGCCACAGGGACTGGGGAAATGGTAGGAAGAAAAACCTCCAGAACATGGCCAAACAGCCCAAAAAACCACAATAATCAATTTAGGTGTGTTCATTTGAAGGCATTTTAACTGTCACTTGCATATAGCACAATTCAGTTTAACTGTGTTACCTTCTATTTAGCCCAATTCAGTATAAAGCTTGCCGTACCATCTACTATTTATTAATTTGCTTTTTAAAAATATATTGCAGGCTTTCTTGACCAAAGTGGCAAAAATACAACAAGGAGCACGCGAGTTACTAAGATCTGGAGTAATCACGAGGCTTGCACAGTGTCATGTATATGACATGCGACCTGAAATAGACCAGCATGGGTAAGTTTTCATATGACCTGTCCTTTGCATACTCCGGGAGCTTATTTTCTTCCCTTGGGAACATTGTGGTGCCACAGAGGTGCCAGAAATGTGCCAAAGAAAAAGAGGAAACAACACACTGGAAGTAGTAGAACCAATAACACAGCTTACTTTTTCTGTGATAGCTAAATCTGCCTTAGCTACAGTTTTTGCCTTTCCCGCAACCTGTTAATTGAAGCGATATACACCTTGGTAGTCCCACTCTTGTGATAATGATACATTGCCATTTTGTCTATTACCTGTATCCTCAGTAGGAATCAGTACAGGTATACTGGCCATGTTTTTATACTGCAGTGACTGAGGAAATGGACTTTGATCCATGAAAGCTCATATGGAAATGAGTTTTTAAATTGCTATGTTATCTTGGCTTTTTCCCTTTTATTTTTTTCCTGTTTTTGTTCCCAATCTGACTAATAACCTGACTACTTCTTGGGAAATTCTAATGGCATTAAATGGTGTAGCAGACCCTCAGACCAATTTAAAAGCTCAATTGCCATTGGTGGTGGTGGTGGGGTTCTAGGAGCTTTTCTGATAGAAAAAAATGGGGTATAAGTGGTGACTGCAAGGGCAGCCTTTGGGTACTCTTTCTTACTACTTCCAATCTTGTCATAGTAAGGATGAGTGGGCAGAAAAAGACTACAGTCTATGGAAGTTTATTCTTATAAATGTTCATAGTATTTCAGGAGCTACAAGATTCCTCATAGTAATTGCATGTTTTCCTATGAACTACAGTTATTTCTTGCAAAGGTAGTCCCTGTAAGCATTTGCTTTGAATATAGATTCTGCTGCTGACCAGGCTTGAATCACTTAGAAGCCAGGGGTATTTTTGTTTCCATAAACTATGCTTCCTCCGCATATAGTCTGGAATACTTTAGGGTACAAATAGTATGAATATGATTTTATGTAGTATTTCAGAAGCCATTAATGTGTTCTGATGGTTCAGAATAAGTAGTAACTTCTGCCGTTGTCAGTCTTGGGTCTGCAGATATTGGACTCCCAGCTCTCATAATCCTTGAACATTAGCCATGCTGGTTAGATTAGAGGGGAGCTGTAGTACAGTAACGTCTGTGGAAAGCTGGGAAAAGCTACACCAAAACAACTGATTAAAAAGGTTTCTAATGGTTGTTCTGGGTTTTTCGGGCTCTTTGGCCCTGTTCTGAAGGTTGTTCTTCCTAACGTTTCGCCAGTCTCTGTGGCCGGCATCTTCAGAGGACAGCAACCTGTGCCCCAACAGATCCATGCAGAGAATCAGTTGCATTCAGACTCAATGAAAGAGTAGAAATGTAGTGGTGACCAAGGTCAGTGGTTCCCAAACTTTTTGGACTCATGACTCCTCTCAGCAGCAGCAGAAGCAGGAGTGGCCAGGGGTGCAGGCAGCCATAGAGGTGAAGGGACATGAAGGAACTGGAGCCAGAAAAGCATCACCACCACCGGCTCGGAACACACTTTGGAAACCCCTCTAACTAAGCTCAGTAGGCTAGTCTCCTGAATAGAGATAAGCACAAATCTTGGTTTGGCAGTTCATGCCAGTTTGTCAGCATGGTACCACAGATGCTGTGCATTCCCTTCCCCCACCCCCACCCGGCTCCCCCACTCACCAGGTGGGGTATATGGCTGTTTCCCTTCTCTTCGTGCAATCATATACTTCCAGCAACAGTATGTGCCTCTGAGTGGATGGCTACTGGAGAAGGTGAGGGAAGTTATACGCTCCTCCTGCAGCTGGACAATTGTGTAAAGAGGAGGGAAAGAACAGTGCATGCCAGCTGGTGGGGGGAGCTGGCTGGGGGGGGCGAGGGAAGGGAATGCATGGCACACACAAACCTCCAAATTGAGGTTTGTGGTCATTTCTAGTCCTGAAAGTATAAGGCATATGTGTACATATGTGGATGAGTTTTCAAAGCTTTTTTTAAAGCTACCCATACAAATTGATTTTATGTTATTGTTATTTGTGCTATAGTGTTTACTGTTTGTTATTCTGTTTTTAACTGCTTGTAAACTGCCTAGAATAGTGCTCCAGCACTAATGGGGCAGTATATGAGTTAAAGTAATAAATAAAGTAATAAATAAATAAATACAAATAGCTTCTCTCTTTGATTTCTCCTCCTTTCAGAATATTTGGAATGAGGGAGTCCCCAGTCTTCATTCCTGCCCCTATAGAACGTTATCGTCAGATTCTTCTGCCGGCACTCCAGCTGTGCCAGGTCATCCTCACTTCAAGTATGGCACAACATGCGCAAGCTGCAGGACAGGTACATTAAAAGGGAGGATGGAAAAATGTCTCAAGATGTTGATTACCCTTATATCTTAGAGCTGGATGTGAGTTTTGTGTTCTGTTATTTCCAGGTATCCTCTGCTGATATGCTTAACTAATATTCTTAAATAAGGTTTATTTCTACATCACTTTTCTCTTTTTGGTTCAGGTGTTGCAGTTTCTAATATCCCATTCAGATACTATCCAGGCAATCTTGCGGTGTCAGGAAGTAAGTGCAGGATCTCTGCAAGAACTGGCTTTACTGACAGGGATAATCAGTAAAGCTGCTCCACCTGGTAATTTGTTTGTTTGTTTGTTTTTCAACATATGTTGCACCCCATAGCACAACACATACTCTGGGATATGTAGAGCAAAGAATACAAACAAAGATAGAGTAAATATAAAGCAATACACAAGTACAAATCAACAAACAATAAGATCAAAGAGTATTTTGAGAATTTTGGCAACAGTTGCATATTAATTTTAGATACAAAGTAGCAGTAGCTCTTTAATTGGCCCAAATGTTTCACTGTAAAACTGTATGCAAACTCATATAAAACTGAATAGGCACAGAAAGTTAATAAAAGCTGGTTGTTGTAGGTTTTTCGGGCTGTTTGGCTGTGTTCTGGAGGTTTTTCTTCCTAACGTTTCACCAGTCTCTGTGGCCGGCATCTTCAAAGGACAGGAGTTAGAGTTCTAACTTCTAACAGCCCGAAAAACCTACCATACAACAATCATCGGATCTCGGCTGAGAAACCCTTCAAGAATACATTAATAAAAGCTCTTCATACAGTTGTGTCATCCTTTATTTGATCTTGTGTTGTAGCCTATCACAGAGTCTCACAGCAGGAAACAGATCACTTGAAATAAAGTGTTTATGACTGACACATTCAAGAAGGTACAGGTATTAGAATTACTGAGGTCTTGAAATGAAAACCATTGAAACTGGCCTGGTGCTGGCAAATAGCAATCTAGCACAGATAGAAAGAAAGACTACACTGAGTGAGAGTTTCCCTTCAGACACTTGAAGCAGCTTCAGATTTGGAAAGAGAAGATGCAGTAACAGTCAGGAACGTAATGATGCTCAGAGAGTGCTTGTGCAGGCTATGAGGTTTTGAATGTTATCGTTCAAAAAAGTAATTTTTCCCAATCTCTATGCTTTCAAAATGCAGCTTGGTTTTACAATGTATTACTTGTTTTATCAGTGCAGTAGAAGATAGTCACATCTACTTTATGTTGGAATGAGGTACACACATTATTTGTCATTTTAGATGTACAGTATTTATTTCTAATCCAGATAGCTTCCTTAAAAGATTTCTGATCTATATGAAGTTGTTCCAGTTTTTATATGGTCCTAGGTCTGGAGATGATTTGAAAACCACAAATGAACCTATTGATATCATGCTTTGTTTTTGTTTTTAACATTAGGTGTGCTAGGCAACTATGGCCTTGATACTCATGATGGAATGCAAATTGAATTACAAGGACATGTAGGGCGATTTCAGGTAGATAATTTTTATGACTGAAGAGTTGTGTCAGTGAATTGACTGGAATCTTTTCCCTTAATGATTCAGGTTTAATATAACAGGCTAATCATCTCAAATGCTTCATATGTATGTTGTTAATGTCTTGTGGTATCTATCTATGATATGTCAGTATGTACATGTGCTTTTAAATAAGGGCTTGGAATGCATATGAACTAATCATAGAATGAGGGACAGGACACAAGCCCTGAACTGGATTGTCAAGGGAGGGGTTCTGTCCTTGTATAAGGGCTGGTGGTTTACCTTAATAGAGTCCTCTTTGTGTATGTGGAACATGTTCATAGAAAGAAACTGAAAAACCTATGTACACACAGAGAGCTTGCAAATGAGGAATCAGATTGAAAATGTGTGGTCATCTTGGGAACAAAAAGATAGATATCATTGATATCAGTGAGAAAAGATAGAACTTATTCAGTCTTTTTTTTTAAAAATCCAATCATATCTAGTAGTCATCCTTTAAAAAAAACTTCTGCTTGCCTTCAGCGCCAGTGCTTGGGCCTTCTAACACGGTTTGGTGGTTCAGAGAGACTGCGTCAGTTTAAGTTGCAAGATGATAATGCAGAGGGAGACAGAGTAAACAAGAGGGATGAAATTGAACTGGCCATGCAACAGGTAAATCATAGATTATACTTTGTAGTACAACGAAATAAAGGCCTTTGCTCCCAGGTAGTGAAATATTTCTTCTTTTTCTGACATTGTCTCAGTAACAACAGACATTGCATACATCTTTCATCATACAGTGGTGCCTTGACTTACAAACTTAATCCGTAATGGAATGGTGTTCATAAGTCAAAATGTTCATAAGTCAAAGCAGCATTTCCCATAGGAATGCATTGAAACCTGATTAATCCGTTCCGGCTGTTTTTTGTTCTTATGCCAAGGCACGGTTTGTAAGTCGAAGTGTTATTTCCCATAGGAACTAATGCAAAACCGGTTAATCCGTCCTCTACCACTAGGGGGAGAATATTTTTTTTAACCTAAGATGACTTAGGTTTAAAAAAGGGCAGGAAAGGAGGGAGATAGAGAGAGAGAAGACAATGGGGGAGGGAGAGAGTTTGGAGTCTAAAACACATGCTAAACCAACACATTTTAAACCAAGCCAGCACAGACCCTTGAAAAAACTTTTCTGATTTGCAAGGGAAGCATGCAGAAACCATTGCAAAAGCACAGAAAACTTTTGCAGTGGTTTCTGCATGATTAAAAATGCAGATTAAAAATGCAAAGAGAATGAAGCAAAAAAGCAAGGGAAGCGTGCATGAACCATTGCAAAAACAAGTGGAACAGATCAGAAATGCAAAGAGAACAAAGTAAAAAGCATGCAAGACACATCGAAAATGGGGGGGGACCCAAAAAGCAACTAAACCCCCCCAAGACCCATCGGAAATGGAACCCCCCCAAGCCCCATCACAGCACGGAAATGTAACCCCCCCCCAGCCGAAAATCATGCTGCAAAAATACCCAGAACAGTTTTTAAAAAGTATAAAGCAGCACTTTACCTTAGCAGGCAGCCTCCTCAGATTGCACACTCTCTAACTGCCGGGCCAAAGAGCTACAAAGAAGCAGCCTTGTCGCCACCTACAGTTAGCTATTTGAATTTCCCGCCCTTTTCCCCTGCCTTTCTTTCTGTTCGTAAGTCAAAGCTCCGTTTGCAAGTCAAAGCAAAATTTTGTGAACGGAGCTGTTTGTAACTCAAAATGTTCGTAGGTCAAGGCGTTCATAAGTCAAGGCACCACTGTAATAACCTGAACATATCTTGGTCTCATCTGCTTTTGGAAGCTAAGCAGGGCTAGGCCTTTGGACAAAGACTATCGGAGAATACCAAGGATCTGCAGGAAGGGTTAGCAAAGAATTTTGCCTAAAACCCTGCAGAGCTGCTGCCAGTTAGAACTGACAGTACTGGGCTAGTTGGTCCAATGGTCTAACTCAGTCTAAGGCAGCTTCCTGTGTTTCTGTGACTGAATAATATCTGCAATTTGTATTTGAGTACTATTACCCTATTTTTATCTCTTCTTATAGATTTGTGCCAATGTGATAGAATATTGCCGGTTGTTAATGGTACAGTCTGCTTCCTCTTTTGAGCATATAGTTTGCCTCTTCACTCCCAGTCTTTCTGAGTCCATCAATCGAGATGGTCCTCGACAAGGTGGGTTTGTGGTTGTACTACGTGTCAATCAAAAACCATATTCTGGAAATTGAACTGAATGCTTTTTCTCATGTTCCATATATGCCTTTCCATCACAACACAAGATCATGTGGAAAGCAACTGTACAATTTAGTGTTGAATTTTAGTGTTGAAAGCACTGGCCAGTATCTTGTTAAATATTTATGCATGCAAAAGTGCAACAGCAGAAGCTGCTGGAGCCCTCTGATGATATGTCAGGTGCCTGGTTGCATCCAGCCAGCATTACATCAATTCCCCATGATAGCTTCTGCAGTTAGATTTCCACACATGTGTAAATATTCAACAGGATTTTTGTTGTTGTTATTGTTGTTTAGTCGTTAAGTCGTGTCTGACTCTTCATGGCCCCATGGACCAGAGCATGTCAGGCCCTCCTGTCTTCCACTGCCTCTCAGAATTGGGTCAAATTCATGTTGGTAGCTTCGATGACACTGTCCAACCATCTCGTCCTCTGTCGTCCCCTCCTCTTGCCTTTACACTTTCCTAACATCAGGGTCTTTTCCAGGGAGTCTTCTCATATGGTCACAGTATTGGAGCCTCTGTTTCAGGATCTGTCCTTTCAGTGAGCACTCGGGGTTGATTTCCTTCTAAATGGATAAGTTTGTTCTCTTTGCAGTCCAGTGGGCTCTCAAGAGTCTTCTCTAGCATCACAATTCAAAAGCATCAGTTCTTCTGTGGTCAGCCCTCTTTATGGTAAACCCTCTCACTTCCATACATCGCTACTGGAAAAACCATAGCTTTGACTATTCAAACCTTTGTTGGCAAGATGATACATCTGCTTTTTAAGATGCTGTCTAGGTTTGTCATCACTTTTCTCCAAAGAAGCAGGCTCTGAATTACTCAAGCCCCTCAAACTTTTAAGATGAACAAATTTTAGCTTTTATGGAATACTGTCCACTTCTTCAGGCACAAGAATAGGTCCGATAACTTACTTGAGCATGACTTTGAGGCTAGACTAATTTTTAGTTTACATTTATTTACCCTATTTTACTTTTTAAAATGGGCCTTTCAACTCAAAAGCACAGAAACTTGTATAGTTGTTTGCTTACCAGGTGACAGAAGGTTCAAGGCTTGTTCTGGATGGTTGCATTCTATTTCTGTATTATAAGGAGTTAAGAGTGTTACTAGTGTTTTTCTGCTTATTGTCTCTTGATCGATTATTTGATTGTTACCGGCATTAAACTATGATAGAAAAATGCTAACTATTTAAATGTGGTTAGCAAATAAATAAACAAACAAATCAAGAGATGTAAGTAAAGTGTTGACATATTCAGTACACTTAACAGTTGCATTTCTAAACATATTTACTAGAGAGTCAGTCTCACTGAGCTCAGTGAAACTCAGTATTTGTGGATAACTGCACATTGTACTACATAGTAAATCAGTATTGGAGCCTGAAGTAATTTAACTTGTGTTATATTTTAGATTCACAAGCACCAGTGATCCCCTATTGGCGTTTGCCTGGTCTGGGTATTGTTGTCTATCTGTTAAAACAATGTGCAAATGACTTCTTCAGTTACTATGATAGCCATCGCCAGGGTGTTAGCAAGCTGCAGAACGTGGAGCAACTACCACCGGATGAGATAAAAGAGGTAACCTCCCTGTGTCTTCCTTCTGCATCTTCAGAATAAAGATGGATTACCTCAGATTTATTTATTGAAGCAGTTTTGTATTGTAATCTTTTTTTAATAGCCAACATTAGTTATAAGAAAGCTCAGTACATGTACCAGCAAGTATAGTTTCATATTCTGGTAAAACACTAGCCTGTGTTTGCACTTATGGACTCACAGATGAACCAGTGTAAGGTATACAGTTTAGTTTAGAAGACACTGAGTATTTTTACTTTTTGTGACTGAATAAGATGACAAAATGAAGCCAGGTTTTCTTTCCTCCTTAACATTGATTCTCAAGTGAGTAAGAAAATTGACTGATACACTTAGGTGCACTTTACATTTCTTTTCACACAACAAAACTAGTAATAGTAAGTCCAGAGTTGCTCATTAAACATGTTTGTTTTTTCTAGACTGGGATGAGTCCTTGCAAGTGTCTGCTGCATATATAGCACCCCCACAAGGCTCTAATGCTTTCTAGTGATTGGTTACACACCTTTTCTTTTTTCTTTTTCCAGCTGTGCCAATCAGTTATGCTGGCTGGAGTAGACAAAATTTCTACTGCTCAAAAATACATCTTGGCAAAGCGACGTTTGGTAAAGCTGATCAACAATCGAGCCAAACTGCTTTCCCTGTGCTGCTGTATCCTTTGACAAGAGATTTTTTTAGACCAACCCTCAAAGACAGCTTTAATAAATGAGTATATCTTGGAAAGAAGTATTGAGAACTTAGTTATCATATTTAATGGGGGGGAATCTAAAGTGTGTTTCAAAAATCGCATGAATTGGCAGCAGGGGAGAGGGGGCACCTGCACTGAAGGAAATTAGTTACGTTTTTGCTGTTACTTTAGTATGCTTGCCTCTCTCAATTTACTGTAATAAATATTTACTGTAAGGCAATGCCTAGAAACTCATGCGTGGACTCTTATCTTTGGTTATGCAATGACAGTGTATAGACAGTTCTGCTCGCAAGCAATTCAATTAGAATTGCAAGAGCAGGATTCAGTACCGATGTAGTTTTTCCTAAGGAGCCAGGCTGTAAATTTTATGTTATCCTTTACTAGAGATGCTTGCAGATATCATAGAAACATGCCTTTTTATTCTCTGGCGGCACCTAGAACACTATCTATTGCGCTTCACCCCTGTAGATTCCCAAGATTCTTTTTTAACTTCCAGGACTCCACTGAAGAGCAGAAAATTACATGGTAATTTCCTCATTTTTTTCCTTTGAATTTGTGAATTATACTAAAGCCTGAAAAGTTAGATAATTAAAATGTAGTTAAGAAAACTGTGCGACTGTTAGGTCATATTTTTATTTTGTCAAAAGCAGAACTTCAGTTTGGTATTTTGTAGCAGCAATTTTTCAAAAATTAAGCATTTCCTTCTGTCCTAAAACTTCTGAGGATCCCATACAATTTGTTTAATTGTGGGGAAGCTGTGGGGCAGGAGGAGGAAGTATTAATTACAAAAAATTACTGCTTCTAATAAAGTTATCTCAATTTTAGGGTAGCTAGAACAAAAATCTACTGGTCACAGCCCTAGAAGGATTTCTAAACAGGGGGAATGGACATAAAAATGGCAAGTGTATTTCACTGTAAGAAAGTATGAAGCAATGCACATTTGGGCAGTCTAATTTCACATATGCAGGGATTTGAACTGGCGGTGACTAAGGAAAAGATCCTCCTATTCTGGGAATTATGATGAAACTATCAACCCAGGATGCAGCTTCTGCAGAAAAGGCAAATTCCAGCTTGCATATATGAAACTGTTACTGTCACACAGTGGCGCCTTGACTTACGAACGTCCCAACATATGAACATTTTGAGTTACGAACAGCTCAGTTTGCAAAATTTTGCTTTGACTTGCGAACGGAGCTTTGACTTATGAATGAAAAAAAAACGCAGGGAAGTCGGGAAATTTGAACTTTCAGTTAACCGTTGACCAGCGAAGAGGCTGCTTGTCAGCTACCTCACTCGCCCCAGCGATTAGAGAGTGTGGATGTAGAGAGAGACTTCAGACTGCCTACTATCTGGTACTGCCTGGTTTTGCATTAGTTCCTATGGGAACTAATACAGTGGTGCCCCGCTAGACGATTACCTCGCAAAACAGTTAATTCGCTAGACGATGAGGTTTTGCGATTGCTATAGCACTTCGCAAAACGGTGTTTCCTATGGGCGATTTTTGTTGGATGATGTTTTGGACCGTGCTTCGCAAGACAGTTATTTTTTCCGGGACCGAATTTCGCAAGACGACAGTTTTGACAGCTGAGTCCGCAACTCGCAAAACGCGTGTTTTCAGGACCGTTTTTCTCAAGACAGCAATTTTTACAGCTGATCCGTGCTTCGTAAAATGGTTTCTCTATGGGCAATTTTTGCAAAACAATGACAATTTTCCCCATTGGAATACATTAAATGGATTTCAGTGCATTCCAATGGGGAATCGCATTTCGCAAGACGATATTTTCACAAAACAGCGATTTTCGCTGAACGAATTAACATCGTCTTGCGGGGCACCACTATACTTTGACTTACGAACCGTGCCTTGACATAAGAACAAATAAACAGCCGGAAAGGATTAATCGGGTTTCAGTGCATTCCTGTGGGAAATGCTGATTTGACTAACGAACATCTTCTGGGACAGATTAAGTTTGTAAGTCAAGGCACCACTGTACTGTCCTTACATAACTCTATAGTGTTAAAATGTTTCTGATCATACTAACTCAAAAAAGACATTGCAGAAAATGGAAACAAATAAAAATTGGAAAAGTTTGTTTTTGGACTCATGAGCTCCTAGAATTCCCAGGTAACATGTGACCCGTGCTGGACTCTGGGAGCTGTTGTCTGAAAATGTAACTTTTCCAGGCTCTACCCAGGAGAAACACCTTCCATAGCAAGAATGGGCAGCTATAAATTGGAAGGACAGCCTTGCTGGCATAAAAGAATGATAAATCTCAACTTCTTAGTTATGTTGTATTGGGGAAAAAACAGGACTGTACATAACAGGAATACAGTGGTGCCTCGCTTAGCGAGTGCCTCGCTATGCGATGAATTCGCATAGCGAGGGGGTCCGGGCCATCGCTGGAGCATTCGCTCAGCGATGGCCCCTATGGCGATTTTTCGCTTTGCGATGATCGCTAAGCGATTCGCTTAGCGATCTTCGCAAAACGAAGCGGGGGAGAACAGCTGATCGGCGGTTCCAAAATGGCCGCCGGAAGGTCCGCGCCGCATTTTCGCGCCCTGCCCTCGCTTACCGAGGGCGCGAAAATGGGTTGGAAAAAAACCAGGACTGTACATAACAGGAATATAATGTTACCTAGTGATGCATATTTTAAAGACGTGTTTTGTACTATAAATATCTATTATTTTAAATTCCAAGATACCAGCAGTTCAGAGCCTCACTTTGATTTTAGAAGTGGACTCAGTGGAGTGAGCCAGCTTGATTTAGATCAGGTAACTTAGTGATGCATATTTTAAAGACGTGTTTTGTACTATAAATATCTATTATTTTAAATTCCAAGATACCAGCAGTTCAGAGCCTCACTTTGATTTTAGAAGTGGACTCAGTGGAGTGAGCCAGCTTGATTTAGATCAGGTAAGATCCAGCCTTTTCTAGAAGAGTTATGAATGATTGTTTTAGTTTAAAAGTTACATATAATTAGGAAATTTCTACTTATCTTTATGTAACTACAAAATGATTAGATAGTCTTTGCAACAGCACATGGTAGTGTCTAAATACAAGATGATTCAGCATGCTGAATATTGAGAGCAGAACATTTTGTAATATGTGCTTGACATCAGGATCAGCTGGAGAAAGATCCAATTTTTTGTACCTCCCATTGTCCATCCCCAAAGTAAATATTAAAAGAATTATATATTTTAGAACAATTATTTCTTGAAACTACCAATGAGAAAATAACATCTGAAGTTGTTCTGTTGTTATCAGTATTATTGCTGTTCCTAATACCAGTTAAAATTGATACACAGTATTTTGACTTCATTTATTTAATGCATTTCTGTATTCGCATAACCTCATAGAATAGTGATTTCCCAACTGGCTTACTATCAAGGCTTTGAACACTTTCACATTTGCTTAACTGGAGCGGTTGGCTGGTTTTGTACTTGCCTGTCTGGCTGCTTAGGAAGAAATGTGAACATTTTCTTACATTGGTAACTTGGGCAGAATATAATTTGCATTTCCAAAAGCAAATAGGTAGTTATAAAGCTTCTTCTATTTGAGATTCTTTAAACATAATTAAGTATATTTTAAACTTGTGACTAGCCCTGGACCCTTGGATTTTTTTTCCAGACTCAAGGCTATATTCTTTAATAATTTATGCAGATTCTCAGGCTGCCAGTAGCCCACATAGTATAGAGCTATGGGTTTAGAGACAATGAGCTGGAGTCTAAATATTAAATGTTTCTTAGATATACATACATGCCTACTCTAGCAACAAAATTCCACATAGTGGTACTTTATTTTAAATTTTCTACATGAACTGATGATATTCCTACATCAAGAAGAAATGTTTGTTTCTCTTTAAAAGGAGAATTTAAGTCATGATGGTTTTTCTCTCACACTTTCTCTACCTTCTTTTTCAGCTTCAGATTGAAGCCAGCAGCAGTTTTGGGGAATCATTGCAGAAGAAGCTCCTTGACATTGAAAGCCTATATTCTAAGGTCCGATCACGCTACACTTTCATTCAAGCACTAGTTAGACGTATTCGTGGTCTACTAAGGATATCAAGGACCTGAAGACTAATATGTGTGCCTCCCTGAAGTTTTTTGTACAAGTGTTATTTTCTAAATTATGGTCAACGTTATTTTTCTATCTCCTTTTTTTCATTACAGCAATGAATCAATTTTGTGTATTCTTCCTGTTCCTATCGACTGGGGGAGGGAAAATAAAAGCTTTTTAAAAACTATATTAAATCTTTGAGTAGAACAAAAGATACTCAATAGGGAATGAAGGTGTAAGAACTATAAGTCCATACCGCAACTTAGATATCAGAATAATGCAGAATCACAGCATAGAGTTGGAAGGGACTTAAAAAGCCATTGAGTCCAACCCCTCCTGCTCAAGGCAGGAATCCAAATCAAAGCAGATTTCACATATGGTTGTCTAATTTTCTCTTGAATGCCTCCAGTGCTAGAGTGCTCACCACCTCCCAAGGTGTTATTGTTTAGTTGTTAAGTCATATCCGACTCTTTGTGACTACATGGACCAGAGCACACCAGGCCCTCCTGTCTTCCACTGCCTCCCGGAGTTTGGTCAAATTCATGTTGGTAGCTTTGATGAGACTGTCCGACCATCTCGTCCTCTGTCG